TGGTATGTATATACAGGACTAACAATGGAAAAATATCTCAGAGAGCTCACATCATCAAAGAAAATTCGAATGAAATAACGTTTTTTCTTGTAGCGGTCATTAAAGTGAAACAAATGTTGTCCTCTTATTAAGCTATTACCTCACCTCATTGTTGAAAACATGAAACTGCTGAGAGTTACATTATATCATTTTTATAAAATATTAGTTGCTGAAGAGCTAGTTTCCAGCAGGCATTCCACGTTATTTTTTCCTATTCATTCAAATCCAAAATATTGCTCATCTAAACTTTCTCGGTTAATCACTGTTACAGTAAGTCTGAGACTGCAAGACGCCCAGTAATTCATAACCGACTTGGGGCTTGTTCACCTTCAGGTCAATTATTTGGTTCCTGTGCATGGTAACAAGAAATCATCATCTGCTATAATTGCATAGAATTAACAAAAAGGAAAGCAAGAGATTTTCCTTCAAGAATCTGGACTGAAAAGCCACCAGGTTTCTGGTACATACCTTCTCTTTCTCCTCCTTTGCTATCCTTCCACTCGTTTTAGTAGGGAAGTAAGTTGCTGGTGAGGTCAAGTTAAAGGTTCCCCACCCTGAGAAATAGCCCTCGATAAGCACAGCAGTGGCACAGAATGCTGTGGGAGCAGAGAGGAGAGGCCCTGAGATCTGCTCGTGGAGTAGTTAAAGAAGGTGCTGCAGAGGAGGTGTCCCTTGGGCTGACTCCTGAAAGGCCAAAAGGCATTTCTGAGTAAGTCCAGGAGAAAGGGGTGGCATGGAGATTCCAGAGACAGAAGGAGTATCACCAAGTCCATGAAAAATCAAATTTATTTTAAAAATTAAAATGTATTTTCAGATATATTCTTCAGTTTTTGGTTTTGCATTTTTAGGAAGTGCTTCTTCGTCTTCGTTTCTTAACATTTCCTTCTCTTATTTTGTTGACTTCCTTCTTCCTTTTTCTGAGGAAAGCATACTCACCTATTAAGGGAAACAGCTCACTAATGAAGTTACTAATTAAAATTAGAGGCTTTCAGAGACTTCTAGTATGCTAATTGAGCCAGAGTGCAAATTGGGAACGAGGTTGTCTGGAAACTGTGGCCAGACATACAGGCAGGAGGCAGATGAGGAAGGGTGGTCCATGCCCTGCTAAGGAGTATGGTTACCCTTTAGCCAAGAAGAGATTCTGAACACTCTGAGGAAGGGAATGGTACTGGTGAGTTTGCACTTTGCAGAGAGCACATTGGCAGTCTTAGGTGGAGAATGGATAGAGGGAGGGAGGCAAGACTGGAGATGGGGAGATGACCCACCAAGAGTGTGAGTATCAGGAATGGTAGTAAAGACGGCATGACAGGGAAGGACAGAGAATAGGAGAAAGCAAAGGGTGATATGAAGAGTTCTGGCTTAGGTGACAGATTGGATTTGCTGATGAAGGAAATAGGAGAAATGGAGTTGAGATGAGGAGGGGAGTGATAATGAATTCATTTGTTATGAATATATCCAATAGGTATTAGATAAGTGGTTCTAAAGGACAGAGGTAAATTTATGAGAGAGACTGGGAAATCATCAGTATGTAAGTGGTAATTTTAGCATTTCTGAGTTTCTTTCCAGCCCTTAAATCCTGTGGTTCAATGAATAATATAAATAATCTCTTTGACGTATGCCTATCTCAGAAAGTCTACAATTATCAGTGGCCTGTGTTAAATGATTTGGTGACCTGATGCAGTTCCTCCTCACAGTTGTGATCAGCAAATAAATTGTGATCTTAGCCTCATGCTGACATTGAAAATCAATCAGAACAGATTTATTGAGTGTCTTTTTTGTGTTTAGTGTTGTAACGGAGATTCATTTTTTAGATTGGAAATAATTTCATTGATTTGTCTTTTTTTTTTTTTTTTTGAGACCGAGTTTCGCTCTTGTGGCCCAGTCTAGAGTGCAGTGGCGTGATCTCGGCTCACTGCAACCTCTGCCTTCCAGGTTCAAGCAATTCTCCTGTCTCAGCCTCCCAAGTAGCTGGGATTACAGTCATGTGCCACCATGCCCTGCTATTTTATATTTTTAGTAGATACGGGGTTTCTCCAAGTTGTTCATGCTGGTCTTGAACTCCCGACCTCAGGTGATCCGCCCACCTTGGCTTCCCAAAGTGCTGGGATTACAGGCGTGAACCACCGCACCAGGCTTCACTGATTTTTCAATTCAAGTCACCAAAGTCAGGAAATGGAGTTTAGTAGGAAGACAGTGAATACAGCTAGGCTTGATAAGTTTAAGTTCATGGCAGAAGATCCAATGGAAATGATTAAGAAATGTGCTTGCACCCCATTTCTACTAAAAATACAAAAAAATTCGCCTGTAGTCCCAGCTACTTGCGAGGCTGAGGCAGGAGAATGGTGTGACCCTGATAGGTGGAGTTTGCAGTGAGCCAAGATCGTGCCACTGCACTCCAGCCTGGGCGACAGAGCGAGACTCCGTCTCAAAAAAAAAAAAGAAAGAAATGTGGATGGAGAGGAGGATGGAGGATTTATCCCAAAGAGCATGGTCATTGAAACTGGGAGAGTGTGGGAAGGGTGAAGGAGGGGAGTGCCAAGCACATAGCAGATTACAGGGAGGGCCAGAGCCTTGACAGACACCCACCTTCAGGCTGCCAGAGGACAAGGACAAGCTCAAGGTAGAACAAGAAGAACATTCTGTCACTGAACGTGGGAGGAGAGTGTTCAAGGAGTGGGCATTCACCCTGACTTGGAGGTCTGGGGTGACTGACCAGAAGATGATCATGAGATTTAATGATGAGCTGGTCATTGCTGCTTTTTCTCATAGGAGTCTCAGTGGGATAAAGAGTTAGGAAGTAAGATTGTAGGCCATTGAGGAAGAGGAGGGGGAGGAGAAAGAAGAACAGTAGTAGTAATAATAATAATAAAGTTGATGTGTACTGTGTTGAATGCCTCCCTACGTTACATGCCAGGCAGTCTTCAAAGCACTTTGTATGTGTTATTTTGTTTAATGTTCCCAGTAATGGTAGAAACTTACCAATATTATTAATATTATTCATATTGATACTATTATTTCCATTTACAGATAGACTGTAATAGGAAATAAAGACAATGAGTATAGACAATCCTTTGAGATATTTTGCAGTGATACAAAAAGTTTACTTCCCCCCAAACTAAATTCTGTCAAGTGAAATTGAACTTGTCATTTTCTTTAGCATTTGTTACCTGCTTTCATTATTTGGACATAGAAGTACAATCTTCTCCACATATATTGGGATGCTGTCATTACATTTTCTTAATTGTTTCTCCAAAAACTTACATTTTGGTATGACTGTTAAGCCCAGAGGCAGAGAGAACAGAGTACCAGGCGATGGGTGGTGTGAGATGTGGCAATGCCCAAGGAGAAGAAAAGCACAATGGGCGATGATATGATCAGGTGAAAGCGATTTTCAAGCAATTGTGACATTTTTGAAGGCAGTGAGGGTGGGATCCAGGGGAGGAATAACTGGAGATGTCGGAGAAGGATGAGCAGGTGGGACTGTGAGGCAGAGACCGGTCTGGGTGGGAGAAGGAGCCCCGCCCAGAAATGAGAAGGGACTTAGGTTTTTTGTTTGTTTTGAGTTGGGAAAATAAAGTTTAAAAGAGAAAATGTGGCCGGGCGCGGTGGCTCACACCTGTAATCCCAGCACTTTGGGAGGCCAAGGCAGGCAGATCACGAGGTCAGGAGATCAAGACCATCCTGGCTAACATGGTGAAACCCCGTCTCCACTAAAAATACAAAAAATGAGCCAGGCGTGGTGGTTAGCGCCTGTAGTCCCAGCTACTCAGGAGGCTGAGGCAGGAGAATGGCCTGAACCCAGGGGAGGTGGAGCTTGCGGTGAGCCGAGATTGCAACACTGCACTCTAGCCTGGGCGACAGAGTGAGACTCTGTCTCAAAAAAATAAATAAATAAATAAATAAGAAAATGTCCAATTTTATTAATACTATCCCCAAACTAAACTCTGTCAAGTGAACTTGGACTTGTCATTTTCTTTAACATTTGTTATCTGATTTCATTATTTGAATATAAAAGTGCAATCTTCTTCACATATATTTCGATGCTGTCATTAACATTTTCTTAATTGTTTCTCCAAAAACTTGCATGTGGCATGACTGTTAAGTCCGGGGCAGAGAGAGCAGAGTACCAGGCAATGGGTGGTGTGAGATGTGGCAGTGCCCAAGGAGAACAGGAAGGAAAGAAGGGAGAAGGAAATTAGTAACTGTAAGGATAAAGAAGAATTCCATCTAAAAGTCTGTTGTAACTTCACAATTGAGGCATCACTTTTATAAGAACTTTTTTATTAATGAGAAAAAAAGGCAACAAGGTCACTCTCATCAGGTTTGTGGAGAACAAAATGAATTGGCGAGTCAGCCAATCAGCTGGAGCAGCCTGCAGGTTTAGGACCTTGAGTGGTTGTAAATTGGTGGCATAAAATGTTTTCTTATGGCACTGGGACTGACTGACTCCCCTGCTGACTTCATCAGACTCTCCTGACTTCCTGAGGATGTTGTGTAGTCTGGATCAATGTTATCCACAAGGTTAAGTAAAACATTGCTCATTTCCACCTGTAACTATCAGATGCAAATACTATTAGCATTTACTGCAACTCAAACAAGTGACAATATTTTCACATATTTTCTCTGTAGGAATATAAGGCTCCTTGGCAATCAAGAGTTGAAAACATTTAGGTAATACTGGGCATGGCACTTGCAGCAGTCATTTCAGTCTAAAAACATTTCCTAAGGAAAAGTAGTAAATGTTTTTTTCATAGAAACCAATATTTTGACTGTTAAATCATTTTCATCAAAACATTTTATTTATATGTAAAATGTTTTAAAAGCTGTTTTCTGTGTAAACATGTTCATCTCATCATCACACACTAATCAGGATGTGTTGAGTGCCTCTGTTTATCCATTAATATCTGGTGTTTGTCAGCCTGTGTTTGTTTTGTGTCTGATGTTCCATGTCTTTTTTGCAGATATTGATGAATGTGTAAACAACACTGTTTGTGACAGTCACGGGTTTTGTGACAATACAGCTGGCTCCTTCCGCTGCCTCTGTTATCAGGGCTTTCAAGCCCCACAGGATGGGCAAGGGTGTGTGGGTGAGTTTTTAGATTTTTTCCCAACGTGTTTCACATGTCCCTAGGGAAAAGAAATCACAGTGAACTACAGGAGCTTTTAAGCAGGTAATTTGGGTAGAGCTTTATCACAATTTGATTTTGTCATACAATTTGAGGGTGTGCAAAAATATCCTATGTTGGCTGGGTGCATGGCTCACACTTGTAACCCCAGCACTTGGGAGGCCAAGGTTGGAGAATTGCTTGAGGCCAGGAGTTTGAGACCAGCCTGGGTAACATGGTGAGATCTTTTCTCTATGAATAAAAATTTCAAAAACATTAGCCAAGCTTGATGGTGGATGCCTGTAGTCCCAACTACTTGGGAGGCTGAGGTGGGAGGATCTCATGTGCCCAGGAGTTTGAGGCTGCAGTAAGCCTGATCTTGCCACTGCACACCAGCTTGGGCAACAGAGCAAGACCCTGTCTCAAAAAAAGAAAAAAAAAATCCTATGGCTTCTGAAATTGTTAGGGACAGTAAGAAATATAAAAGTATGACTTTACATTTAAATGAATTTTAACAAGAACATCTGTTTAAACTCTTAACTGAGTATGCAGAACTCTAGACTCCCTTCGGCACAGGAAGTAGAGTCTGGTGTGTGGTATAGATTGTCTGTCTTTTAAATGCACCCCCTTAGTGCATTTAAGGCGAAGTATTGCCAGGAGCTTCAGTGTCCAGGAATGATACCTGTAAAAGGATGCTTTGAATTGTGCAACTGTATTTCCTCAGTCTGTTCCGGGATTGACAGGGCTGGAAGGAATCTTGAATATCATCAGATGTCCTGGAATATGGTCCAGCAAATGCTCACACAGAAAATAATTTGTATTCATTGTCTGACAAGATGTGATTTCTTCACGTCAAACTCATTATGAAACATATTTGCAATTAGAGCAATTAAATGGGAAGGAGAAGAAAAGTTATCAAATTCGAGACTTTATAGATAGCAAGACTTTTCTTTTTCTTTATTCTTAGAGAAAAATAGCCATGTTCACTACATGGCAGATGGAACTTGAGGAGTCAATACCTATTTGGTCTGAAAATTTGCAATTAAAACATTTAATTCATTTGCCATCCATATTAAACTTGGAAAATAAAATTTTCAAGGTTTAATGATAATGTCACTTGAATAATAACTGCTTTTATGGAATTATGAAATTCAGTTAATTCCCAACCAAAAATTATGTACAAATCTATGGTTTCATGCATAAGCAGTAGCTAGTCAAAAACATAGATAATTATTCAAGAATTATTCACAACAAGACATAGTTATTTAATAATATAGCTAAGACTATCCTAATCTTAGTTCAAACTCCTGCTTTAGCCACCTTTCCACCAAAATATAGTTGTTTGACATTTGCATAGTATTTTCACCAGATGGGTCTTGTGATGTGGCCCCTACTTTTCATCTTAGCTTCACTACTTCCTTCTTCACCTGTTGGTTCCAGCAACGTCAGATTGGTTGTGGTTGCCCATGTCACTGTGCAATTATTTGACTGTCGTTCACTCCTTCTGCTGGGAATATCCTCCTGACCTCTCCTTCCCTGAGCCCTGGATTTTTCTCACTCATTCTGAAAGACTGAGGTTCAGTGTCATCTTCCGGACACCATACCTGCCCCATCCCTCGCTGTCAAGCTGAGCTGTGACCTCTGCTTCCAGAGCACCTTCAGCAAATTCTATTATAGCACTTATAACCTTTGGGGGAATAATTTAATAATGGGTACACCACCTGCAGCCCCCTTCTGCAAGGCTATAACCTCTATATGATTGAAAACTTTCTCGCTTCTCCCTGGGCAGGGCACGATGCTTGGCTTTTTGTAGGTGCTCAGTAAATTTTGTTTAACAGCCAACTGTTTAAATATCAGATGTTGAACCATATCTGGAAACCATGTCGGCTGTCTCGAGTCCACATAGCTCCAGAGCCCTTGCTTAATGTTCATTTCTTCTTTTTTTTTTTTTTTTCCTTGAGACAGAGTCTTGCTCTGTCACCCAGGCTGGGGTGCAGTGGTGCAATCTTGGCTCACTGCAAGCTCCGCCTCCCGGGTTCACACCATTCTCCTGCCTCAGCCTCCTGAACAACTGGGACTACAGGCACCCACCACCACGCCCAGCTAATTTTTTGTATTTTTAGTACAGACAGGGTTTCACCATGTTATCCAGGATGGTCTTGATCTCCTGACCTCGTGATCCACCCATCTCAGGCTCCCAAAGTGCTGGGATTACAGGTGTGAGCCACCACGCCCGGCTGCTTAATGTTCATTTCTAACCAGCTGGATGAGCACACTAAACCCATGCTGACATTTCAGCTTGGCACACGAAACACCACCCTTAGAGAAGGAATATTTGTTATCATTTTGGTGAACTCAACAAATGTCATTTTATTTGTATTTGTATTTATTCTTTCAAAAATATTTACTGAGCACCTATGATATGCACTTTACCCTGTGTGTTCTGTAGAGCTACAGGGATGAGTCAGCACCTCCTCCATTATCATCCTTCAGCTATTTATTTGCTCCAGTATCATTTCTCTAACCCACCCCCGCATTTAAGGTCTGCTGTTCCATGCTTTCACTGAGTCTGAACTTTTCACTCCTCACACTCACTGAAGCGTGTACAATTATTTGTTAATTTCCCTAACTCAACTATAAGCTCCGTGAAGGCAGGAGTTGGGACTGCTGGCTCATCATTGCTTCCTCACATACAGGCCGTACAGGCCTGCCCCACAGAAGTAAGCTAGGAAATGTTTCTTGATTGAATTATTGCAGTCTGATGAGATAGAGTTTATTAGCCACATCAATAATACATGTTGGAAAGTACAAAGTTCCACGGAACATTTACCTAAAATTGATAAATGTGAACTGGCAATTTCTTAAGTTTTTCTGGTCTCAATATGACTGTCTAGGTTGATTAAATATTTCAACTCTGCTTTACTTTATGTTATGGTATTTTTCACAAGTGAAACCAGTTCATTGGATTTATATCTCTTTATATACAAATGAAATGGAAAACTGAAGTAATTATCCAAATAAGTCAAGATATATAAGCTTTTTGTCCAATTAACTGGGTATACCAGGTGAAAGGATGATTTTTTTTTTCTGGAATGATTTAGATAATTGCTCAAATTTTTAACTTTGTATAAACCATCTCAAAGTATGCTCATGAAAGCTGTTGTTTGTACATGTTTAATGCATGAGACATGTGAGCATTTCAGACTTTAATTCAGGTGCTTTGCTGAACTGGATACTCATAAATAAAATGTTGTAGGAGGAAAGAGGGTAAAAAGCACTACTGGACAAGATCAAACATAAAATTAGCCTTTCTTTAGGGCTATGTACTTGCAAAATGTTGAATAAAGTGTACTTGTCACTGAGATTCCTTGACTGTATTTTAATTATGTATATTTAAGTACAGAAGAAAAACATTTAGCAAAATAGAAATTACACAGTGGGACATCAACAGAATTTGAAAAGGCATCATGAGATCAGTGATTAGTTATTGGACCAATTTGTTTCACATGAATGATTAATGTAGCCTGATGAGTATCTATAGGGATCTCTCCTTCATTTCTCAAAGGAATATGTAATCTGAATTCTATTGATAATTATGGATGCTTTGGCTACCAGAGAAATACCTGTATTTTCAGATATTTAAGTATTTTTTAAAGCTTTTTAAATGAACTTAATTCTGTGGTTACTGAAGTATCAGTGATTCTAACTTTGCTTGAATTAAGAACTGAGAGTAGGCCAGGCATAGTGGTTCACACCTGTAATCCCAGCACTTTGGGAGGCTGAGGCAGGCGGATCACTTGAAGTCGGGAGTTCATGATCATGCTGGCCAACATGGTGACATCCTGTCTCTACTAAAAATACAAAAATTAGCTGGGCATGGTGGTTCATGCCTATAATCCCAGCTACTCAGGAGACTGAGGCAGAAGAATCACTTGAACCCAGGAGACAGAGGTTGCAAGTGAGCCAAGATCGGGCCACTGCACTCCAGCCTGGGCGACAGAATGAGACTCCATCTCAACAAAAACAAAAAAACAAAAAAAAAACTGGGAGTAGAGTGTTGGGTCATTTAAGACTTCATTATGTTGAAAAGTCAGGAATGATAAAACTAGATGGTCAGTGGGCACATACTAGGTTTGCAGTACAATTCCAGGGTGTCCTTTAAAACTAAATTGGGAATTGGCCAGGCACAGTGGCTGACTCCTGTAACCCCAGCACTTTTGGAGGCCAAGGCGAGTGGATCACGAGGTTAGGAGATCGAGACCATCCTGGCTAACACGGTGAAACCCCGTCTCTACTTAAAATACAAAATAAATTAGCTGGCTGTGGTGGCGGGCGCCTGTAGTCCCAGCTACTCGAGAGGCTGCGGCAGGAGAATGGCGTGAACCCAGGAGGCGCAGCTTGTAGTGAGCCGAGATCGTTCCACTGCACTACAGCCTGAGCGACAGAGCAAGCCTCCATCTCGAAAAAACAAAAAACAAAACAAAAAAACTAAATTGAGAATTGTCTTGAATTTTCATAGTCCTTTCGTCCAGACCAAATCTGACAGCTCTACCTTAAAGAGCCCCTTCCCTGAAAGAGCAGAAGGGGTTTGACTGCTCTCTGGGGATCGCCTGCTTTTCAACAAGACACTATTAGCCCTGGCATAGCTGGTAAAATAGAGAGCTGTCCTGAATGAGGCACACATCTCACTTGGCCTGTGCTCCCTTTTCCAGATGTGAATGAATGTGAACTGCTCAGTGGGGTGTGTGGTGAAGCCTTCTGTGAAAACGTGGAAGGGTCCTTCCTGTGCGTGTGTGCTGATGAAAATCAAGAGTACAGCCCCATGACCGGGCAGTGCCGCTCCCGGACCTCCACAGGTAAGTCCCAGTGACACTGTGCAAGGGAATGGCAGGCTCCTCTCAAAGACCTGCACCCACACAGCTTTGGGATAAATGCTGGGAGTGAGATAATTAGCCAGATGTCCTGACACAGTGCTGTCTCTGGAAGCTTCCATGTTCTTCTGTGCCTGCCTTGTCAGTGGAATTAAGATGTGGGTGATGACTCTTTGGGCTAGATGGCCTCTAATGTTCTATCCAAACCAGAGATGCCTCCAGTAAGGTAAAGGATCCAAAATGATGAGGACATTTGCTGGGGATTGCTTAAAACTTAAAGAGCTATCAGCTCAGGATTTAATATGGCACCATCTCATTAAGTTGCATAATCCTCCATACGTTCTTGGCCCTTAGAGAAATGTGTCTTGACACTTCTCTAAATTAAAAGCAACATATAGGCCTCTTAGGATCTACAAAGACTTCCACTTGGAATTCTTAAGGTGTTTTTCCAGAATTTGGCCTAGAGAGTGGCTATGTTTGCGTTCACTTAAAATTTGATTTAGGCTGTGTCGTCACCGTGCAAACTGAAATAGAGAGTTGGACTGTTTTCCAGATAAATTAATCAACTTCCCAATCACCCTTTTAGTTTGTGCCATGTAGCTATAGCTTGGTTGTATTTTAGGGAAAGCAAAGGCCCAAATGGTCCTTTGAGAGCCAAGTAAAATGAAACATAGGCCATTTTTTTTCTTTCTCAATCAGTGTTATCCATGCTTCGATAATAGCTTTCACTACTCCTCTGGAGGGTACACTTGTTCTGTGTAAAATAGCTGTCTTTGCAAGTAATAGGAAATGAAATATAAAAATATTTTCACCCACACATATTTCCTCAGTTATTAAATATAGAAAGGTGAAGGGTACAGAATTAAATGAACAGACTGTAATTCAAAAACTGTGAAAGAGAAGAGGTAAGTGATTACTGGTGACAGGATTTCTCTTCATTCTAGTGACCACCACAACAATACATATTCCATAAAGAAGAGACTTTTCATTTTAATTGGATCTACAATAGCAAAAAACAAATCAAAAAACAGAAAAATCTGGTTGACCACTAACAGAATTGGTTAAGTAACTGTCTTTTTCTTATTTTTGCTTGGTTCCATAGGGTAGCCCCTCACCTATAGTGTTATTTTGAATGAGTTAATTCATATGTCATAATATATAGCCATTAAATGGCCTAGGTGATGCTTAGATGGTCATGATAAAGATAAACGTATGTGATACAATGTTAAGTGAAAAAATGCAGGATATTCCAACGATTACACTCTGTAGAGGAAGATAAAAAGATAATTGTTGGATCCCAACCAGTAACTAGTTGAGCTTATTCATTTGTATAGCTCCTGGCAGCTTTTACTTTTATCATGCCTCAATTTGTATAGTTGTTGGTGAACTTTGATTGTATGGAGTCTTAAGACTGTCTTATGACAGTCTTCATTTTAAAAAAATTTCTAGCAGTATCCTGAGAGACTGAGTTTAGCCATAAACTTCAGCAGAAGCCTTCTATCTGATTTCATCAGAGCCAATAATTGATCAATTATTTGAAAAAGGTGATTAAAAACTGGAAATCATAAAAAGGTAACATCCTCTAAGTTTAATTTTTAACTCAAAGGATATAAGTACATTTGGCCCGGTGCGGTGGCTCACGCCTGTAATCCCAGCACTTTGGGAGGCCGAGGCAGGCAGATCACTTGAGGCCAGGAGTTCTAAACCAGCCTGGCCAACAAGGTGAAACCCTATCTCTACTAAAAACACAAAAATTAGCCCGGCGTGGTGGCATATGCTTGTAATCAGTAAGGCAGAGGCACGGGAATCGCTTGAACACGTGAGGCGAGGTTGCAGTGAGTTGAGATCACACCACTGCACTCCAGCCTGAGCGACAGAGCCAGACTGTCTCAAAAGAAAAAAAAAAAAAAGTACATTCATGCACCAATCTTTGAAGAGAAAGGCTATGGTCTTTTTCTGTGTAGAGGTTCATTTGTGGAGTTTGTGTGGCTATCCCGCATAAACCTCATCTGTTATGTGTTACTTACACTTTCTTTGTAGAACGGAGAATCTAAAGCCTTTTCCAAAGCAAACGAACGTAAAATCCCTCTAGATTTTTACAGTTTTTCTCAATTTTTTTACACTTGTCTTGTCCACACCTAATTTGATAGCATTTCTTTTACTAAATCAACTTTATCGAATCTTTCTAAAGCTTTAACTTGCCCTAGAAACAGCTCTTCTAGTCACATTCATATTGTACTGGTTGATGTAATGTTTAATTAAATTATGTAAGTACAATAATCAATACACTGACACAGAATGTTTGAGTATATACCTAGGTGAGTCTTGGTTTGCATACTGCGCAGCCTATAGGAGCAGAAGTGTGTGGACCTCTGCAAGAATAGCCGTCCAGCTCTGAGCATTCTCCCTTCCGTGAGCATCAGCAGTGGTATTTTACAGAGGGCAAGAAAACATCAGTTAACACAGCAAGTTGGTTAAGTGTTGTCCAGTTAAGAGAGTTTGTACCCTGTACAGTAAAAGAATCTGCTATTCCATAGAAAAAAACATTTTAGGCCAAATATAAATAAAAATTTGTAGACTAGAATTCAAATTAATTTCATTATATATATAATATACTGAAGCTGAGATCTCATCCTTCCTGAAAAGTGCTTAGGAAGGGGAAGGTAGATTTCCAGCATTGGCTATCACATTTTTATTCAGCTGTAAAACTCCCCCAGGACAATCTATATTCCAACAATGAGCAGTAGCATGATAATCTGATGTGGTATCATACCCAAGACAGCACTAGGGCTATGGCGTAGGATATTAGGAAAGCAGATTTCAGGTCAGTAGCCGGAAGAGCTTTCCGATAACTAACAAGAGCTAGTCAGCAAAAAGCAGCCTCACAAAATACTGGAGTGCTTCCCGCAGAGGCATCCAAGAACAGGTGGGATACCCACTGGCAGAAGAGCACCCACTTCCAGCAGGGTATTGTCCCAGATGAACCTTTAAGGTACTTTGGAACGCTCATGCCCTAGGGTTTTTATTTCTAAACTTTCTTGCTTCCCACATATGTATTTTTTAGGTCTGCCTTAATGTTTTTTACTGCCTGGGACTTTGGCCACTAATTTACATTGCTGTGCATTGCCTAAAAGCATCTGAAAAAGAAGTAACTAAAAAAATGTCCATACCAGGCCACTCATCACATTTAAGGAGGTATGGATATAAAATATAGTCTGATGCTATTATTTCCTTAGTGCCTGTGATAATTGCTCAATAAAAACTTTATGTCTTTGGGCACTCTAAGGGAAGCAGTAAATATTTAATCTTGGCAACTGCAGCCTTCAGACCTTACCCACAAAATGCTGTTCTCTTCCTTGATTGGTGTACAGAGGAAGTTCTGTGGTAGGAACGGAATCTTATTTTTAAAACAGAAGGTATAATGAAAAGAGCACAATGAAAAAAGTACATATTATAATCCATACAGGTATTCTTCACTTTAAGAAAAGCAAACACAATCAGAAAGTATAAAGCATATAGGTTGGGGTGATTAGTTGTATTATAAAGTAATTCTTCACTTTACTCAACAGTTTATCATAGGGTTTCTTTAAATATCAGTGTTCGCTAATACATTTGAGATCTTATTCCCACATCATGAACTATATCCTAGACTTCTGCATTTAGAAACCACCTTAGCGATTTTCCAGCTCAATTTTTTTTATTTATAGGTAAAGACACTGAGGCCCAGAGAAACATCTTAAATGTATTCTTAAGGTTATATAGCTCATGAATGGCAGAATTGGTTCAGGAACCCAACTCAGGGATCTTCCCACTTCACCATTTCTACTTTTAGGGCTGAGGACACCAAGACATCAAATTCTTCTCAAAATTGGCTTTTTTCATTTTGTTTTTCATTATTAAGATAATACACATTAATCATAGAAAATTGGCAAATACAAAAATAAATCAAAAAGAAAGTCCCCTGCAGTATCACCATCTGATATCTGTCACCATCTTGACCCCTGGACTCTGAAAGGACATCCATATTCCCCTGCCTCAACAGAACCATCTTCCATTTGACCTTCAGTGCACTGAAATTAGGCCCTCTGACTTTTCATCTAAGTGAGCCGTCAGTGAGCTGCTATATACTAAACTCTTTAGTCTCATCCCAGAGTCATCTTCTGAAACATTTGACACTGGTTTTTCATCTTTTTCCCCCATCTTTGCCCTGTGATTGATTTCATGACATTACTGTTCCCTGCATTCTCCTGCCTCTTGGACTAGTCTTTTCCATTCTCAGGTTCCTCTTCTCCTGCCCATTCCTTAAATAATAACATCCCAGGCAGTTGCATGCTTAGCTCTCTTCTTATTTATGTTTTTCTCCTGGGATATTTTATCTGCTTTGGAGTCAACCATTACTTATATGATGTTGCCTGCTAAGTAAATATCTTCTGCCTCCACCTGTGTTCTGAGTGTCATGCTCCTATTTCCAGCTGCCTATTGGACTTTGTCTTCCAGGGTGTCTTGTAAGCTTCTCTGGCTGACAGTTATTGAAACCTAAATTAATCACCATTTCCTCTGCTTCTGTCTGTTTATTTATTTATTTATTTTTTTGAGATAGAGTCTTGCTCTTCGCCCAGGCTGGAGTGCAGTGGCGCGATCCTGGCTCACTGCAACCTCCGCCTCCTGGGTTCAAGGGATTCTCCTGCCTCAGCCTCCTGAGTAGCTGGGATTATAGGTGCATACCACCACACCCGGCTAATTTTTGTATTTTTAGTAGAGACGGGATTTCACCATGTTGGTCAGGCTGGTCGCGAACTCCTGACCTTGTGATCCACCCGCCTCAGCCTCCCAAAGTGCTGGGATAACAGGCATGAGCCACAGCGCCCAGCCGTGTCTATTTATTAATTGCCAGACATCAATACTAGAAATTCTGAAGTCATACATTTTTTGTCTCCCCATTCATCATCCAAGCAGTCTATCATAACATCCTGCCAGTTCTACCT